AAATTTTAACACACGGTAATAAAAAATAACGACGCTGAGTAGAAGCAGTGGCGACTCATCCGAGTCAAATTCGACGCTACGAATTCAACGGTAAAGCGAATTCTATTGATTATTACATCATCGAGCGACCGCCGAAATTCAGTGAAAGTGTCTATCAATCTCAGTAACATGGGTCACCAGCTAAAGAGAGAGAGAGAAAGAGAGAGAGAGAGGGGGGAGGGGAGAAAGAAAGAGAAAGGCATACACCATCATAAGAATGTAACGAAGACGGAGGCTCCTACCATCGGTGCGCATAACTGCGCGCTTCTGAGTTTCCCCGGCTACCAACGGTTCACTGTCACTTTCGAACCGACAGTCCGGTACGAGGATACGATCGCGCTGGTTCTGCGGCGCGAATAGTCCTCGGAAATGACATGCCGAGTGAGTTAATATATTGCGGTCTGACCGCGGACCAAGCTCGTATCGCCGTCAACATCATCAGAGGCGCGAGTTAAATTACGACTCTATCTAAATCCAGAGATTGGAGTCTTCTTGCCCTTTCCATTAAGGGCCGGGAAACAGCGCCTAGTCCAGACAATTGATATGCCGAATCAAACAGCAGCCGACTAGAGTGTCGTAGCAGCAGGGGAAACCGCGTATTAACAAAAAGGATATCGACCGAGTGAGGACGACGAAGAGGTAAAGAGGGAAGAAAATTAGACAAACTAGTTTGGAGATCGTCCGGAGGAGTGCACACTGAGAAGAGCAGCAGTTATACAGTAAAGGGTACGTGACAAAGTAGGACTCGAATGCAGAATAAGTTACTTGAAGAGGTTGAAGACGCAGACGTTTGAACGGTCGAGGAATCGAAACGTGATAAGTCGACTGTACGTTAGAAGTAGAAGAAAAGTTGATTGGACTGTAAGGAGATCGTAGATGTCGAATCGAGATCGTCCAAGCCTATCGAAGTATGAACTGTAAGGAGAAGATCTAATATACTTTGTCAGAACGTTACGCGTGCGTATCAGAAAGAGAATGGAAAAGAGGGAGCCAACAAGAGGATTGATCAAAAGACTTGCTTGAAGAAGCAAGGAAAAGAAGAGGAAGAGGAGGAGGAGATCGAGCAAGTTTAAAATATACAAATCTGAGACACGTGATAAAGGCAGGATCGATTAAAACAAAAGAGATTAAGCAGCATAAGAAATTGACAAGAAATTATCTGAAAGAATTAGAAAGAGATAACGGAACAAGGACTTGGTTCATCGAAAGGACATCTCGTTAAGACGAATTGCAACGATTAAGCAGAACATAATTCACAACAAAGAGTAGAGCGGAATCAAACGAAAAAGGAAAGAGTCTAATTCAAAGTGTTTTTCCGAAGAAATCGACGCACGGAGTTACGCGAACGCATTTAATCGCACGTAAATGCGACAGGAACAAAAAGGGGAAGAAAAAAGCAATTTAGGATAATAAATAACAGCGAAATAAATTAAAAAAGCTCAAACGAAAAAGTTACCAATGAGCTGTTTGCCTAAAGCTGAAATGGACCTTTTCTCAAGTTAGAGAGTAGATTTAATAATCTTCATGCCCGCATATAATTTATGCCGGTCATAACTTCTTACGTAAAACTAATAACACGCGCTACGTTATTAAAAAAAAAACACCTATAAAGAGTGCGGACGAAGCTCGATTGTGATTGCGTGTCCGTGGGCAGCGTTACGTAAAACAACGTAACTGCTGTCGAGCGTGCGGTGGAAAGCCGCGGCTGCGATCGCATAACCGGCGTTTAAATCGGAGCGCAAGCGCGCGCGGTTCGCGTTCAGCGCGGAACGGAACGCAATTATCGTCGCGTGGATCAAGATCGCCGATGCGGGAGGACGCCGGAATGGACAAGCCGAGGAAGTCGACGGGGAAAGCGAGGATCGTCGTGGCCAGATGCGGAATCGCCGAATCACCGCGCCAACGTCGTAAATAAGAGATTAGGGTCGAAGGAACTTTCGCGTATTAAGTTACGGACTAATTTGCGCGTCTGGGTATTCTCAATTTTCACGGGACGACAATTTTCCGTGAGATCTCGCAGTGGAATCGCCGCGGGCCAATTGGAGTCGATGCTGGCCAGAAATAATCGCAAGCCATCTCTCTTTCGGACAATTAGTATGTTATGATCTTTTCGAAGGAAAAGACGAACAAGTATTTGAAGAAAGGTCAACGTTGACTTGGATTAATTGTGATTAGTTTGCTAAGTAAATCTTTGCGCGTAATTGATAGTGCCATGTGATATTAAAAGACGAGAAATTGTCTTCTCAGGGTGGAGTTGCGCGAGTGGATCGAAGTTGACTAAAACTAATTTCGATTTCATTTCATTTTTTTCCCCACGATCTACATTGTGACGAATAGTGCAGCAGTGCTTGTCTAGAGGATTAGAAAAGAAACATTAATTTCTAAAAGGGGAAGACGAAGTGCGTCGCCTCCATTCTTTTAGAGAACATTTCCTCCCTTCATTCGTCAGCAACATGCTGATTTACATTTCAACCTTGATCTCGACGCTCCTAATCGAGAACGACAAAGTCGTGCCCGGTCAGGAGAGGTACAATATGGCGACTTTTATGGTCCTCTTTCTGTTAATCACCATCGAAGTTGTGGTGGTGAAGGTGGTCACCTCCGATATGGAACATGATGAAAACAGTCACTCGATAAGCGCGGCCACGGTGTTCTTTGATCGCGAAGATTGAACGCGAACAGCCATCAGCCAATTTACGAATAGTTTAATAATTTTAATTCTTTCGAAAGTGGCATAAGATAGCGATCCAAACGTAACGTTTTTATGGCACACAAAAGTATATTTTTGCAGAAACAATATATTTATGTATACAGGGTGAGTTTTATTTCGTGAACCAGTCGTTTACCATGAGATATGGATTACCGACCAAAACTGTAGCCAACCTGGGAAAAAATGGAAAAATCTAGTTGTAAATATTTGAATCAATTAGATAGAGATATAATTAGATATTACACGACTGAAACATATATAACGAGGTTTTTTTCCATTTGTCCAAAGTTGGCTACAGTTTTGGTCGGTAATCCATCGTGTACGGTAAGAGACTGGTTCGACGAAATAAAACTCACCCTGTATATTTAAACTTCCGCAAAAGTTACTTAATTATTTTAACAACATAATTATCTAAAAAGGGAGAGAGTAAAATTGATTTTACTTGACAATCAAGTCGCAATGATTATTAATTGATCCAACTTAACTGCTTTGTATAGTCAATATCGCGCGTTGAAGTAGAAAGAAATAACAGCATCGATTTATGACGTGCGTGTTTGACTTCTGCCACTTTCGAAATAAATGTAAACCGTTAATTAAGCGTGTGCGATGACCGAGAAAAAAACAGCTAGAAATGCGCGCTATTGTAGCATAAAACCTTACCCACCTATTTATAAGTACTTTCTACTACATTCTCTTTCGTAGTGTTGTCTCGCGCCAATTACAGGTTTCGATAATATGGGATCTCATGTAGCGATATATGTATACAGGGTGCCCTGGTATTGTCAATTCCTCTCAAACAATACGGACTAAATCTTTCGTCAACAAAAATAGTGTTATTTTGATGCGTTACTAAAATTTTTATTAATAAAGTGATGGAAAGTGGAAAATTATAGCTTTTGATTAATAACTCAAATGAATCTTGTTTCCGAAATTATTTGATTTTAATTTAGGACGTGATTGGAATTTATTTAATGTTGAAAAATGTATTAATAAGATTTGATGTACTATAAAATTTAAAAGATACGGTAAAATTAATAATTACATTATTATGTGTCATAACTGTATTTACGAACTAATTAAATTTAATTATTTAAATAATCTTCAAAAGTTACGAAAGAATAATTGAAAGCATCACGGTCAAGCAACAAATATAAATCAATTTAACCTTGTCTGACTGGTTTTTGTTCTCTGTCCTTCGTGCGTGTGTGTGGGTGTACGTGTGTGATATAAGTTCACATCTACTTAAAAATTTGTTTTTACATTGATTCAAACTTGTTGTTTGACTGGTTCGTTTGGCCTTTATTCTTTGTACGTGTGATATAAGTTTAAATCAATTTAAAAGTTAAGACATTCTTAGTTTTCGCTATAAGGTGATTATAGTCTTGTGGAATAACATTTTCGTTCCGCTTTTGCAGAACACCCTGTACAGCGAATGCGTATTGTGTTAATAGTCGGTGCATGTATATACAGTAAGCGCGGCTATTTTGTACCGTTACAACGTTGTAAATATGTAACAACTGTGTCCTAGAATACGTAGAACAAGTCGATCATTGCGGTTTCATAATAGGAAAAATTCGAATAATTTTATCGCGCGTCATATATTATTCTTTAATTATTATTTTATTATATTGCATTTATGTGAACTCTAATCACATTGTCTTCCGTCGTAAATACTCGTAAATACTCGCGTAGAGGATATTTGATATCAGCGTATTCAGAAATAAATTTAATCAGTGATTTGTTCATCAAACTATGCGTTAATTCGTTCGATATATATATATATATATATTGAATTTCTATATCAGCTTATTATTCCACAGTATATAAATAGCAATATATTGTAAATTTTGCGATTAATAAATATATTGTTCATAGTTTATGTATTGCTTATCGAGTAAACCTTCCAATTTTAATATTCAATAATTTGAGGATACATTTCATAAATTGAAATTAAATAGCATTCAAGTGAATCGATCAAAAATTGAATATCCCCTCAGCTCAATATATTTCCGTATAATTCAAGAAAAATTTGAAATTGCCTCGCAAAAAGGACGGAGGATCAGGTTCAAATCGATCGATGTTCATTGCCCCAATTGTTAAATCAAATCAATAACCTCCGATCAATTGAACAGTTAATTGAAGATCTAAAACGACTAATAACACGCGTGCGATGCACGCATTTACGACCGTAATTGTCTTCCCGTTTTTCCCTCGATGTTTGCCACCGTGACTTACGAAAGAAAACATTTAGGAAGAATTCGAAGGCGAGGGAGCCCAAACGAGTGATCATAGACAACGGACGTTGCGCCTGCTGCCTGGCACCGTTTCGAGTCGGCTGCGGCGTGCGCTGCAGTGATTGCGGCGCTAGATCATGCAGGAAGGCCTGTTCACGTTGGGACACGTCCGACAATGCCTGGCACTGCATATTCTGCTATCAACAAAGGTTTCCGCAATAATACGTGTTCATACTCCCTAACATGCTATTTATTCTCGAATATTGCATCCTCCATCCGTTCGATAAACGAACCATATAATCTTTCTCGAGGTCTCCTTACAGTCCCTGCACTGAAAAAAAAATCTGATAGATTCAACCAGTCATCTGTTAGAAAATGAACGAATCATTTTACCATGAAAGGTTTACCATGAAAGATATTTCATAACCAGAAGTTTGCTAGACTTCACCGCACATCTGGTAAATCCTAAAGGGAATTCTGATTCGTCCATTTTCTAACAGACGACTGGTTGAATCTATCAGATTTTTTTTCAGTGTATCATCAAGGCTTTAACGTTAAATCTGTAGCGTCGTCCCCCCCAGTTTGTCGTCAAATATTTTAAACAAAAGTCGCATTTGAAGGGAACAATTTGTGATCTCGCAGGTTGTGGCTGAAGAGGAATGACAAGTGGTTCGACAATTTCGGCGGCGCGGCGAATGAGGAGGAGCCGCGT